CAAACTAATATTTCTAAAAGCAGGTTTAAGTTTCTTTAGGGATTTTTTTCTTCTCTTGAATTATAGTTTAACATAGGGGAGACAGGAACACTGTATTGGGGTGCCCAAGGAAATGAGACAACACATGTTGTCTAAAAATCTCATAAATTTGAATGCAGCCCGAGCAGTAAGAGCTTGATCCTGCATCATTAAAGTGAATGGGAATTTTGCCACTGACTTCAATGGGAGCAGGATCAAGCCATAATACAGCTGCACCTACCTTCCCTAGAGATGGTGACCAGAGACTCCAACCCCCAGAAGAATGCTTCATTTCACTTCCCATTCCTCCAGCATTTCTCTCAAACCACACTCACCTGCTTCATGGATAATGGGGGAAGAGAAGTCCATTACAATATTTTGCAGTACATTCAGTGTATGAAAGCAAAATTGATAAACCATTATTTCACAAATAAATCATTATATATGAAATATCTGAAAGTTTTATAAATCTTTTAAAGCTTGTTACAGCTTGCCTTTATTTTCCAGACAGAAGTAGTCCATCTATATTAAATTTTGCAAGGTTCTAGTGCAGTTTCATTATTTTCTGTTTCCCCCTTTTTTCACTTCTATAAGGTAGGATCAATTACTATAGTTCCTATCAAAATCACATTTCCGTCAGGGCGCACTTAGTAAATAAAAACAAGAGTCCCAATCGAATATCCTAGATTAAATTATCCTGGTGGTTTGAAATGTGCTGGTTTGGGGGTTCCCAGAGGGCAGAGGCAGCTTGCAGCAAAACCATAGGAAACACATTGGCAGAACTGTCACTCAGCTGAGAAAGCAGTGAATTTTCTCTCTCCCCCACCTCCCTCCATTCTTAGTGACTGTGGTCTTTCCATGTCAAAATGAAGGTCATTGCCAAGGCAACCTGGTACAGCTGTACATTCCTTGACATATGGATAAATGGGGAATTTTACTCCCAGTGTCAGTGGTGAGAGAGTGATGTCCTAGGCCCTAATTAAGATTTAAATATGAGCTCTCATTAGTAAAGTCCACTTAGAAACTAAGGGCTTGTCTACGCTTTTTGGTAATTACCAAAAAAGCTGTTCTAGCAAAAGAGGGTCTACATAGAGGTTTGGCATGAATGGAGGCACATACTCTGCAACCAGCTGATGCCTTTCTTACGTCTTTGGCAGCCAGGGAGCCACTGCCATACATAATTATTGTTCACCTGGGTGAAAATGATTTGGGAGTTTGTAAGCGGGTTGACAATCATCAGGGAAAAGAGGGATTTGGGGCAGATCCAGTAGCTTTTCTCAGGGGTGATTATAAATTGGTTTGAAATGCTGCAACAGAGGGTATGGTAGGGAGCAACCAGGGCTACATGGGTTGACAATGAGAGAAGGCACATGAATCAGGAGATGCCTGAATTTGTAAATGAACAAATTATCCATCCAAAATCATCCATCAGAAAATACTGCATAGGGTACAAAGGTTATTTATGGTCAATGGGATACACCTAATGAAGCACGGAGCAGACATATTTTTGACCGAAGTTCATGAGTGAATTTTTAACTTTCTGGGAACCCAACTAGGAATGGAGGGAACGGAGCAGAGCCAAGCCAATTGCTGGTGTCTTGTGGCAGGGGTCCAGTGAAGGTACTCATTCCAGGGTACAGTTCCCTGATGAACTAGCATTAGAAGTGAACTTAGGGGAAGATACCCCCTAAGGAAGCTGAGGAAGTGGGGCTGGGACTCCTATGTTTGGTACACCAGGAAGACAACCCCCTTTCCAGAGCTTCCTTAGCCCTCATACAAGGGGAGGAGGTGGAGTGGGAATGGGTGCTGTCCACTCTAAACACGTGCAAACAATTAAGACAAGAATGGACCTGCACCCTATGATTTATTGCCAGGTATATCCCAGATGACTTAATAAAGCCATAGCCAAATGAAGCCATATCCCTTGTATGGCCAGGACAATAAAAATTCCAGTATATCTATTCTAGTAACTTTTCAGGAGTAGACAAGTCCTAAGACCCATTTAAATTGATTTGATCAACTCTTAAAACACAGTGGACAATGAAATCCCCCTTCAACAAGAAAAAAAATCCTCGTCGTTTTGCCTTCACATCAGGTGTTTTACTCTGGACTGCTGACTGTGAATACAGAGTATCATTCTTATTTACCAGTGTCCAACTGATAAACTCAGACTGCTAAGGAATCACAATTGAGCTGAGAGGGCATAGTGAGTGGGTTCCCACAGGGATCTGTCCTGTGTCTGGTTCTATTTAGTATCTTTATAAATTATTTGGATAATGGCATAGAGAGTACACTCAAAGTCTGCAGACGATACCAAGCTGGGAGGCGTTACAAGCACTTTGGAGGACAGGATTAGAATTTAAAATGATCTTGGCAAACTGGACAAGTGGTCTGAAATAAATAGGATGAAATTCAATAAGGACAAATGCAAAGTACTGCACTTAGGAAGAAATAATCAATTGCACAAATATAAAATGGGAACTGACTGCCGAGGAAATAATAATGCAGGAAAGGATCTGGAGGTTAAAGTAGATCACAAATTAAATGAGAGTCAACAATGTAATTCTGTTGCCAAAAAAAGAGAACAACATTCTGGGATATATTAGCAGGAGTGTTGTAAGCAGGATACAATAAGTAATTCTTCCACTCTACTCAGCACTGAAAAGGGCTCAACTCGAGTATTGTGTATAGTTTTGGACATCACACTTTGGGAAAAATGTGGACAAATTGGAGGAAGTCCAGAGAAGAGCAACAAAAATGATTGAAGGTCTAGAAAACATGACCTATGAGGGAAAACTGAAAAAATTGTGTTTTAGTCTGAAGAAGAGAAGATTGAGGGGGGACATGTTAACAGTCTTCAACTACATAAAAGAGGAGGGTGATAAATCGTTCTCCTTAACCACTGAGGTGGTCTTAAATTGCAGCAAGGGAGATTTCGGTTAGACATTTTGAAAAACTTCCAAACTGTAAGGAACAAATTACCTAGGGAAGTTGTGCAAACTCTATCACTGGTACTTTTTAAGAATTGGCTAGACAAACACCTGTCAGGGATGGTCTAGATAATATTTAGTCCTGTCCCAGTACAGGAGGCTGGATTAGATAACCTATTGAGGTCCCTTCCAGTCCTACATTTCTGTGATTCTATGTTCTAGACCAGTGGTCACCAACCTGGATCGATCCTGGAGCCTCTGCCAGTCGATCGCGATCTCTGGCAGTGCAGCGGCGCTAAGGCAGAGCCCTGGCCCCATGCCGCTTCTGGAAGTGGCTGGCATGTCTCTGCAGCCCCTGGGAGAGGGGAGGCAGGCAGCTCCACATGCTGCCGCTGCCCCCACACCCTCAGCGCTGACTCCACAGCTCCCATTGGCCGGGAACTGTGGCCAATGGAAGCTGCAGGCGCGGGCAGCTTCCATTGGCCACAGTTCCTGGCCAATAGGAGCTGTGGGGGTGGCGCTCGCGGGCGGGTGCAGCAGCAGCAGCACGCGGAGCCACCTGCTGCTCCTCCCCCCAGGGGACACAGAGACGTGCCAGCCGGTTCCGGGAGCGGCGTTGGGCCAGGGCAGGCAGGCAGGCACTGCACCTCGCACCCCCTCCTGCACCTCAACACTCTGCCCCAGCCCAGAGCCCCCTCCTGCACCTAAACTCCCTTGCAGAGCTTGCACCCCTCACCTCTTCCTTCACGCCAACCCCCTGCCCCAGGCTCAGCCTGGAGCCCCGTCTCACACTCCGAACCCCTCGGACCCAGCCCAGAGCCTGTACCCCCTCCTGCACCCCAACCCCCTGCCCCAGCCCGGTGACAGTGAGTGAGGGTGGGAGAGAGTGAGCGATGGAGGGAGAGGGAATGGAGTGAACAGAGCAGGACCTCGGGGGAAGGGCGGGGTAGATCCTGGGTTGATCTTAAATTCAAAAAGTGATCTTGTGCATAAAAAGGTTGGAGACCACTGTTCTAGACAAACTGCTATTATAGAAGCTTGATGTCTGCCTAACGAACTTTCAGGCAACGCACACTATAGACCATGATGTAATGTATATGAACTTGACAACCTGTAGGAACAAATAAATGCACTCATGCATACAATCAGCATATTCATTTTATGGAGCTGAGGTCATGGGGCTGGCAATGGTCAATATTGTGTTCATACTAGCTATTTACATGGAAGGGCTTGAGCATGGCCCCCATAAACATTATTTGGAGTAGTCAAAACACAGGTTATTTAGTTAAGAGCAAATTAATAGTAAATAATTAAATCAGACATTTATTTCAATATATTTTCTCGAAAACAGTATTACATTTAAAAGCCTCCAACAGTCACCTGAATGTTGGGTCGCCTTAATGTTCATGTCTCTGGATGATTTCCTCAGCTGCCCACTCTATTCCTCTGGCATTTTCAAGTGTCTTCATTGGGTTAATACTGGAGAACTAGTGTTTTCTTACACAAAAAATTCCCATACAACCCAGAAAAGTCTCACATCATCTTTATTCTACAATGAGGATAACAGTCTACACCATAACCACGGCCTCTGATTTTGCACGTGCAAAAAAAAATACATAAATCTATATTGTATGCAAACAAACAGCTGTGTGTACATTTCTGTAGACACAACCACTTTCGCATACATTTTGCAGGTGCAAAATTGAAGGCTGCAGCCCAAAATATGACCTTTACCATCTTTTCAAAAATCTCTGCTGTTGGGTTTTATGGAAAGTTAGTATAACAGCTACAAAGCAGAATACCAAGATTTGCTTTTAAGTAATTTTATCTACCTTTTTTTTTTAATTAGCAGCAGAATACAGTAACAAAAACGATCCTGATACTATAATATCTATGGGGAACCTTTCACAGCAAACAAAATGAATTTAAAATAGAGCAAATAAAAAATTTAAGCAGAACAAAAAAGATATTACCGCTATTCACTACAGTATGCATTTTTACAGATTAATGAAATTTGGGCTATTTTAATCTCGCTCTGCCTCAATTTTCTCAAATACGAAAAGGTGTTTGAGATCTATGGATTAAAAACTGAGTTACACAAGTGCTAGGTATAAATATTCACTCTCTACAAAATGCTGCAGAGCTAGGGTCATCATCCTTGTTTGTTGTTCTTAATGTGTAACCTCTTTGAATCTCTCCACTGGCTTACCTTCTGCTAAGCGCTCCAAATTCAAACTTCCTTTCACAGCTCAATATTACTTTGCCCCTACCTACTTAACCGCCCTTTTCCTGTCTCCCATTGCCCCTCCACTCCAGCAGTAATGTCAGTTTATCACATGACTGTCTGCATGCTTTCTTCTGTACTGCCTCCTAATCCATGTTCCAGACTTCCTTTACTCACCCACAAAGCCCCTATCTTCTCCATATTTCAGTCTCTCTTGAAGAGGCTCTTCTGTCTTTCTACCAATGGAGTTTCTATTTGATTTATACTAACATGAAAATTGATATAAAAAAAAATGAACATAACCTTATTTTGTGGAGAGCTGGTAAACCAACACCTGGAACATAATACTTTTTGTTATACCTCTTTCCCCTGTTTGTTTGTATGTCTAGCGTAAGACTGTGAGCTCCCTATTCCTTCTTGTCTTGCTACAAAAAAACTTAGCCTGCTGTGGATGCTATTGTAAACAAATACATAATTCCTACATACAATACCACTCTAAAACTGTGCATGGCATGCCTGTACACAACTTCTCTACCAATTACATAATAAGAGTTTTCATTTTATATAATTGCATTTTTTAAACCTTCAGTACTCCCTTTGAGAATAAGGTTATCAGATTCACCAATAGTGAAACAAGTATATAAAGTATCTAATGTCAACAGTGGGATCCTCTTTACTGTTGTAAGTTTCTTTTGAAAAACATGAAACCAATTATCAGTACAGTAATTTATATTAATTTAAAAAGCGTTGGAAATGTATTTAAAAAAAATAAGATGTTTTTCGAGACAGTCTGGATACTAAACCTTTCAGACCAGTTATGTGGGATTTAGTGTCAACTATTTTATAATTAAATGCATTGAGTCTGTGTTGCTGCAGTGTAATTTTTAATTTTTTAATTTCAGTCCATTCAAAGCAACTCTGGGGAATAGAGAGGGTTTTTTCCCTGTCCAGATTCAATAATTTGTAATCCCATACCTACTAACACAATCTATGGAAGTTATAATTTTAGTTTTTTTAATATTCCAACAGGAAAATATTACCCAATGGTAATATACTGCAGCTTTGTATATATGGCTATAAAATAATGTTCTATTTTAAAATTTTGGGGTCACACTTCTGATATCTTCAATAATTCAGCTACATGAATACTATTAAAAGCATCAAACTAGAATGGGTAATTTCATGCCTTTCTGTCTTCCTGGGAAATAATCAACCAAAAGAGAGAATATGGTAGTATAAACAAGATATATAAAAATCTAACTAAAATGAACATAAAAATGCCACTAACCCAAAGCATGAACTGTTCCTCTATGCTTCTTTGAAATCTTGCTTGTCTTAATTATATGTAGAGCATTTTCTTTGAACTGCAGTTCACAAAGTCTTTCAAGAAGAACTGTTATTTCTTCTGTGATGGTATCCAGATAAGTTTCATTAATAAACATCAGTGTTGAGGATGGATCTATAGTACCACTTAGTATATACAAATCCTCTTTTATCATTGTGCATAGTGTAGGTATTGAACTTTTGTAACCATGAACCACCTTATCAAAGTTTGTTTCACCACAGCTAGATAGAACACAGTTCTGAAGAAGTTCAGAAACCAATTTATTCTGCATGTTTTGGTACTTGGTTAGAACTTCTGATTCTGGATATAGAAACAAAAGGTGTTGTATGCATTGAGTTTTAAACTGCATTTGCTGTTTTAAAGTAGCAGTATTTGTTTCATGAGGACTCTGAAGTCTATTTACTAAGAAACGTCGAAGGTGTAATCTCACATCATCCCAAACAGACTTGATATTCATAGATGAATCATCCTCAATGGCATGAAGGGAAGCTCTGGATGTTAACTCAAAAGACGTCCCACTTGGAGTACATGGGAATGAGACCCCACACTGACTAGAGAGATCCAGAAGAAAGTGTAGTATCATTTCTTCTTGATTTTGTTCATTCCTCAGCAAGCTTTGCTAATAATGATAAATTATATAGTATTTAGAGATGTTGCATGAATAACTCTATTTACAAAATTAACTTTATGTTACAAGATGTACATTATTTTTAATTGCAAACTACAAAATGATAATTTTTTACCAGGTAACTTGATTTCTCTGAGTCCCTTCATGTTAGCCCAGGCACAGAGTAAGTATACATTCTCTTACCAATAAAGAGAAACAGGGAAAAAAGCACAGTTTTTCTGATGTCACTTTCTGTATAAAATGGCTGTCTGATGACTTTGTTCAGTTAAAGATTCCCTAAGCAATGACGATCATAAATAACTAAAACACACACAGGAAAACTTTCAGAAACTCAAACTCAATTTCATCAATACAATAAGGTATTGTCTTGGCTGGCATACAAGGACTTGGAGTAACCAAACCAACAGGTAAGAACATGCATCAGCATTACCCTCTATGCCTTTCCAGATAGTACTCATTCTAAAGACATAGGATACATACCTAGAAAAACTGATTAATCATACTACATAGGAACCACCTACCGTTGGCAGAGACTGTAATATAAAATCTGTAATGACATGAAGCACGTAAGAACATCCATAGTATCGCTGGTAGAAATTTTTTCATTGAAATGTTTTTTGATGAAAAAATGACTTTTCACAGAAAATTTTTATTTTGATAGAAATTTTCAAAGAAAAAAGTTCTGTTGTCTTTTTTAACTAGAAAACAAATGTTATTTCACTTAAAAATTTCATTTTCCAGTTAATTTTTAGTAAAAATATTCAGCTCTCAGTTTTTGAAAACCAAATAGAAATTTGTAGGTTTTTGTTTCAGATTTTCACTGGAAAAAAAAAATCAGGATATTTAAATATATATATATTCAAAATTTCCTGTGAAAAATAACTGGCATTTTTCTATCAGCTCTACCTCACAGTTCTAAAGGGAAAGCACCAACTCTCATAGCTACCAGTTAAGCCTTGGTAGAAGATGTAGCCTTTTTACTCTGGTTAGCCCATCCTGGAAAGCAAATGAGGAACAAGTCAAAATAATTAATTTGAGACTGGGGGGAGGAGGGGGGAAATAAGTGGCAGATACACTGGAGGGTAGGGATCGGATACAGAGGGACCTAGACAAATTAGAGGATTGGGCCAAAAAAAACCTGATGAGGTTCAACAAGGACAAGTGCAGAGTCCTGCACTTAGGACGGAAGAATCCTATGCAGTGCTACAGACTAGGGACCGAATGGCTAGGTAGCAGTTCTGCAGAAAAAGACCTAGGGGTCACAGTGGACGAGAAGCTGGATATGAGTCAACAGTGTGCTCTTGTTGCCAAGAAGGCTAACGGCATTTTGGGCTGTATAAGTAGGGGCATTGCCAGCAGATCGAGGAATGTGATCGTTCCCCTTTATTTGACATTGGTGAGGCCTCATCTGGAGTATTGTGTCCAGTTTTGGGCCCCACAGTACAAGAAGGATGTGGAAAAACTGGAAAGAGTCCAGTGGAGGGCAACAAAAATGATTAGGGGTCTGGAGCACATGACTTATGAGGAGAGGCTGAGGGAACTGGGATTGTTTAGTCTCCAGAAGAGAAGAATGAGGGGGGATTTGATAGCTGCTTTCAACTACCTGAAGGGGGGTTCCAAAGAGGATGGAGCTCGGCTGTTCTCAGTGGTGGCAGATGACAGAACAAGGAGCAATGGTCTCAAGTTGCAGTGGAGGAGGTCTAGGTTGGATATTAGGAAACACTATTTCACTAGGAGGGTGGTGAAGCACTGGAATGCGTTACCTAGGGAGGTGGTGGAATCTCCTTCCTTGGAGGTTTTTAAGGCCCGGCTTGACAGAGCCCTGGCTGGGATGATTTAGTTGGGAATTGGTCCTGCTTTGAGCAGGGGGTTGGACCAGATGACCTCCTGAGGTCCCTTCCAACCCTGATATTCTATGATTCTATAACTATTGCTCATGACAAACTTGGTAGGAATTCATAAAATAGAAACCTTGTGCTTTCCATGTTCTCCTGGCTCAGCACTAAGCATCATAAAGGCAATTCTAAGGATAAATAAATCTTCCCAAGACAGTCTTGAAGGACTCAAAGAGAGGATCTGCTACATTTAGCACCAGGATTGAGGTCCTACAGGGCAAGGTGGGGGGCATCATGTACCTGTCCTGGCTAGATGCAGACTGATACATTAACAGGTGCCAGGTTGAAATTACATTTCAGCTATATTGGTAAGGGAGAAAGAAGGGAAGCAGGTATGGAGCTGATGAAGTAACAGGACTGCATGTATTGTTTTACTTCATCTGAAAAGGCCTCTAATGTCTAGTAGGGTCAAAGTTCTGGTCTCATGGCTATTTAAGATACAATGGGACATATTACAACCAGAGGGCTTTGTTCTCCCACCATCAGCTCTTCTAATTGCATGGAGCCCAGCCCCTGGTTTGTGGTCTGTCCAACTTCCTCTTGAGTAAAACTGGTTGAGAATATTTCAGCGAACCATTATTTTTTGTCAGAAAATGCTGATTTGTCAAAACCAAAAGTTTTTGTGAAAAAGGTCAGTTTTGATGAATTTCCCATTTTGAAAAAATAGAACATTTTAACAACTTAAAAAGTTCCGTTTTCACATTTTCTAAATGAAAAAAAAAATCACATTTTGGGGTCAAAATGACATTTTGCTTCAAATGTAAGTTAATTTACAGTTTAAAAAAAGCTAAAAAGGAAGGTCAATATCAAAACAAGACATTTTGATTGACCTGATCAAATTTATTTGAGGGATTTTCAGTTCACAGACATTTCTGAGATGTTGATATTTTGCCCAATTTGGGATGGAAATTTTTTTTAGAAATCTTTAAATATTCTCATGAGAAGGGAAAACTGTTTTCTGCCCAGCTCTGCTCTAAAATGCTCCAATATGTAGGAGAAAATAAAAGCCCTGTCCTAACCTGGATAATTTTGATGAAAAGGATAGGCTATATCTTCACTGAAGAAAAAACTAAAAAACTAACCAGACAACATAACTTCTCAGCTGGTGGAGATAAGAAAACAAATGAACAGGACAAACCAGCCAACCATATGTGTTTATAAAGTGAGTGGCATCACAATAATTTTGCTTTTTTCCTCTCTCCATCTTCTTTCTTGCAGAATGATTTATATGCACTCTCTGGGCTGACATTAATGGAGCAAATATAGTGGATAAAATAGAGTTACTAAAAGACAGTCTGAGGGAATGAAGTTATACTCTATATAAATGCACATGTATCTATGCATATTACATACACACATTATATATATTACAGAATTATATGTGCACTCACACCTACACGCAAAGTTTATTTTGTGTTATTATCTGTATTCTTTTACAATTTTGTGGCCCCCCATGAGGCAAGTGCAAAATTTTGCAGACTCTTGCGATATCCTAATCAGAATCTTCAGTTTACTCTGCTGAAGTAGCAAATCTAGATTTATAGTATTTATAGATTTTTTTTGATGATGTATATTCAAATATGCTGTTCTAATAAAAACAGAACAACAGAACTTCAACAGATGTCAAACCAGCCAATGAGATTCACTCCTTTGGAAGATGAATCCAAAACACTGTCGATGAGTCGTTGGTGCTGCTTTTGAAGCTTAAATGGGTCATTTTCAATTAAAAAAAAAAAACCTATCTAAACTTAAACAGTGTTCAAAGCCTTTTGGAACTGAAATAATGCTTTAAAAAGAGTCACTACATCTTGCAGACACCATTTTGGAGTTAGTACTCCTCAGAAAAGGGCCCCCTACAACACACTTTGAAGCTCTGAAAGCTTAGTTTACATTTTCAGAAATCTGTTTGAACAATGCCTATGTTAAGATATACTTTTGCATCTGAAAAATAAGCTTTAAAAAACACTTGAAAAGATGCTGCAGTGATTTTGCGTGAGAAGCATATTCAAAATGGTGGCACAAGATGCTACACGAGGTGTGAAGGATGGATTTTGTACCTACCATGTCCGTACCAAGATAGTGACAACAGAGTACTTAAAACATACACACAATACAATAAGGTAAACAACAAGATTTTGTTATAAAAAAGTTGTGGTTCATTTAGCCAGGATATAATTTAATAAATGCATCCTCTTATTTAAGTGTTCATCTTTTAATTATTTTGAATTACTAGATACTGTGTAGAGTGACTGAGATATTACATCACAGAAGGTGGTCAGACCTCAAAGAATTTTTTAATACGACCATAAAGGATCACAGTCCCATCAAAATATGTAGTTGTGTTGACAGTGTGACATGCTTGCCAACAACATATCTTCGTAGTTTGCACTATTCTTAAACTATTATATTGTTTCAGCATGTTAAAAATAAACAAAGGCCTTGACAGACCAACCCACATAAGTATCAGGAGCAATAATGAACAAGGGTTTTGTCCTACAGAGGGTGGAGAATTACAATCCATCATCTATAACAGTAAGATAATTAGTTAAAAGCTTTCAAACAAGAAATCATCATTAAGTCAATTGAGTAATAAAATTCAATGCATGCAAGTATTCACTTTGGACATAAAAGATCAGATTGTAAAAAACGGACTTACATTGAACAGTACCTTACATCGCAAGTGGTTCCATTGAAGTCAATGGGACAATTTGCAATATACGATATTTCTCATGGAGTAAGAATATCATATTCTGGCACAAAAGTAATCCCCATGTGCCTCCCTATACTTCTAGTCTTATCTGTACAATGAATGTGCTTGGATTTTTTGGAAAGAACGGGTGAGACAGGATGATAAAACTGTTCTCATTTGCCTTCTCCTAAGATTATTTCACAAATATTAAAGGACCATCTGCAATAAAGTCAGTACAAGAAAAAAAAATGTATTCAACCCTCTATTTTTCTGTATCATCAATGACTCTGCATCTTTCCTGGGGGAAAATCCTGCCCTCTTCTCTGTGGTGGGCCATGACTTGGCAGAATCAGTACAGTTCAACTGCATAAATGAAGGTGGAGGGGGGTAGCTTTTGAAGTCCTGGTCCTTGACACACTGCACCTCTGCTCCTTATACCCAATGCACAGGTGTTTTTGGAAAGTCTGGCAAAGTAGCAGCAGCAGAACTAGTGAATACATTATTATAAGTAAAGAATTTTTAGACAAAGTGTTTTTCCATCAAAAAATGTGAATTTGTTTCTCAAGTCCAGGATGGAATTTCTGGTTAGACAGAAAGAGTGAATATGTACCCTCAATTGGCCAGTAGCCCAGTGATTAGGGCACTCACCTGGAATGTGGGAAACCCAGCTTTAAGTCTCTGCTCTGCCTGATTCAGAGCAGGGACTTGAATCTGAGTCTCTCACATCCCAAGCAAGTGCCCTAACCACTGGGCTATAGTCTCTCTGGTTATTATTTATACCAAAAAAGGAGAGTGAAAGAAAGAGAGATACTGACTCTTTTATTCAAATTCTGTTCTATATTCACTCGTGTGAAACTATAAAAGAATAAGTAAAAAAAGAATACATTAAAAAACTGTATAAGTATTTTTTCCCAAATATATAAAAACTGTAGAAGATTTTTTTTTTACCAGAGTTTTAAGAAATTCGATCAACTCTCCATGAGGTGTAGAAGAAGGTTTCAGGGAACTGAAACTGCAGTTATTCAGCCAGTGAAGGCAGTCAGTTGTGTTTTGTAACAGCTCATCAGTACAAGTCTCATTTACTTCTGACTGTAGCTCTTTAAGGCATTGTTCCACACTAAAAACAAAATAAAAAAAAAACAAGCATTGAAACTTTTCCCATTATTTAAAGATGAACATTTTTTATATAGCATATCTTTTCAAGAAAGGAAAATACTTTAGATTTATATAACATTATAACATAACATGTCTGATACGAGGCTTAAGAGTATTACGTCTCAATCTCCAGGACTAACATTTCCTAATGGAGTGAGAGTAGATCTACAGTAAATTTTCTTCGGACCAGAGTCCACCAGCCTTATTCAAACTAAGTAGTACTTTGATCCTCAAATATTCCCATATTTTTCAGTAAGCCTACTTGCAAAGTAAGGCATTACTCAACATAAAACTGACTGGATTTGGCCCTTATGATTAATAAAGACTGTAAGCAGAATCAACTACTGCATTCGCAGCTAAATGTGACATTCTGCTTCTGCAGCAATCAGCAGTTGTTTTATAACATATCATATATTGTAGCAGTTACTTACAGATCTGCTGACACCTCACTGAAAAACTTGAAAATAATTTTAGAGACATTTCTGCTGGTAAAGCAAATATTTTCTTTCCCTTTTCCTCACTAGAATATTTGAATGAAAAATAAAATATTTCTTTCTTAGGAGTTGATCTACTCCTGTTCCTTACTCTTACCTAAAATCATAACCTTGTTTGTAACATCACAAATGCTTGGTATAGAAATCATTAGAGTTTCAGGTTGGGGAAAAATAGCAGGAACAGTTGAACTCCTTACTCCTTAGAAACAAAGATTCTGTTTCCATGAAAATATCCCCAGAACCAGAAAAAGGAGGAAAAGAAAGAAAAATGTCTTAGAAATAACTCTGTTTCTATATTTTTTAATGTTTCCCTTGAGCATCTACTATTCTTTAATACGAAAATATTAAATATCAGTTAGATTTTAGTCTTACAAAATCAGAACCAGCAATGGCATGGATCAATGGTGTTGTGGTTTAAAAAAATTGGGAAAATTAAACTTGTGGGTGTTCCGGGCCACACAGTGGCCATATTCCCCAAATGAGAAGTGGGTACACCCATGTTTACCCTGAACTATTTTACTGGTGTGGATCCACGATCTATTTTATCAAAATCAGGGATGTTTTGATTATATACATGTTTTCAGTTTGGATTATCTTTTTCTGATTCTGTTTATTTATTGCAAGTTCGTTTATTGCTGGTAAAGAATGTAAATGAAAATTTAATCCTCTATTTCCTTATAGAATTAATTCAAATTACAGTAAGGTAATAATATTAGTTCTCAGTGAAAAGTTCATGGTACCAGACACACACATGCCTTACCTGCTATGCTACTGGTCCCTATTCCACTTCTGTATTGAGTACCTTTGGTTATCGGGTATTTAACGGGGGTTAGGGCAGCAAAGTGCATATACTAGCAGATGGAGAGTTCAATCCCACATATATGAAAACTCTTTATTGTAAGATTTAATTTTATTAATATTTAAAGTAAGTCATCAGCTGCTAATGGTTTTTGGAGAGGCAGCAAAAACCAGAGTATGTACACGTTCTCCCACAGGTACTGATACATTGTGTGTATCAGGAGGTGCTCCCAAGTGTGGGAGGCAATTCAGAGGTAAGTAGGGACAAAGTCAGCAGTCATTAGGTAGCCAATTTAAGGGGAAAAAAGGCTTTCTAAATACTGTAACCAGAAATAAGGTGCATTCATAATAGGACTATGAAGTTGCACTGAGAGCAATCATCACTAAGCTATTGTGTTAATAAACATATATTACACACACAAAACCTGGCCATTCAAATGCAACCACTACAATTAAATTCCTAACCCTTCAATGTGTCCTATAACCCCCATTTTGAACTCTTTCATTGGCTTCCACTTCAAGACCCTACATACGTACCCCTGGCCTATGCCACTGACTTTATCTCTTATCTCCATTCTCCAAGGGCTTCCTCGCTCTTTCAATGATTTAAAGGTTAGTGGTTTGTCCATTTTCTACTCCAACATCCAAATTTGGAAAAGTGTTATAGTGTAAAGAGAAAAAGAATGAATCTCTGTAATATTTCAAAACTTACAAAAGTTACTGTGATTTGGCTGCTCTGTAACTTTCTAAAAGTTGAGGAATTTTTTTAAAATGTTGCAGAGTTTCATATTTTCCTTTTGCCACTCAGTAACCAAAAGTTCAGCAACTTTTAAAAAGTTAGAGAGCAGGAAAAGAAAAGAAAGGGGAAAAGGAAAAACAAACAAAAATACTAGGTATCATTTACTTTATTGCAGCAGTTTTTAACCTTTTTTCATTTGTGGACCCCTAAAATTTTTTGAATGGAGGTGCGGACCCCTTTGGAAATCTTAGACATACTCTGCAGACCCCCGGGCTCCACAGACCACAGTTGAAAATCACTGTTGTATGGTAACGACAACCTTCCATGGGCGCCTTGTGACATTACACCGCATATTCATCATCATAATATTATAGGATAATGGCATAATTATGATGCATTTTGTACAAGATGGGTCATGTAAGGTGTCATTGGAAAAGTTATTATTTTCTGGATATGATTATCCTATTTATATGCATATATCATTTTTGTACCTGAAGTTATGAATATTGATTATGGATCTGTATTTCAAATGGGCTTATTCTGGAAAACACCCACAGCCAGCCTCTCAGGTACAACAATGAAGAAGCCAAACAGAGTTAATGACTCATCAACAAAGACAACGGGCTGTGGAATAGCTTAGCCTTCCTGTGGACCTTTCGGCCAGCCTGTAAGTAATAGCTGCCATGACTCTGCAAAGGCATGTGACCAGACCATGTCTCTGGACTCCATTCTGGTTGCCTGTGTTTTTCCACAAACTGGGCTGGGAACTGTTTTTGGAACAAAGGGTTCCCGCCATATGCTAAAACTAAGGCAGGGAGTGACATCATCTGTTGTTCTTCACTCCCCCATAACTCAACACCTGAGAGAGGGTCCGAGAGGGGGGGGGGTGGGGGGGGGGGGGGGGGGGGATCCTAAGCTGCAAAACAAGTGCAGCTTGTGCCTTGAGAATCTGCAAGCCTGCTTGCATCATCAGTCAGGGTGAGAAATTGTTAATTCAAATCCTATCCTTCTAGTATGTTAAACTTAATTTGCATTGTTGTTTATTTACCAGGTAACATGCTTTGATCTGTTTGCTATCACGTATCAACACTTAAAATCTATCTTTCTGTAGTTAATAAACTTGTTTTATATTTTACCCTAAACCAGTGTGCCTTTAAGTGAAGTGTCTGGGGAAAAATCTCAGCTTAGTTACCACAAGTGTGCATATTACTCTCCACATTGCGGAAGAGGCAAACCGAGTAATAAATTCACACTGGTTGGGGTTTTGACCAGGGCAGGACGGTATAACTCTGGGGTCCTAGGCTTCGAAGCTAGGGGTAATCTTGGCTGTAGCCTTTCTATTGTTGGTTAATGCAGTGGCTGGTCAAAGCCTGCATATAACCACAGCTAGGTGTGTCCCTGCCTGTGTAAATGCTGGTGGAAAGTGTAAGACCAGGAGCGGTCTAGAGCTTGTCACAGGAGCACAGTGTGAGAGGAAGCCCAGGCTGGTCAGTCAGAGGACTCAGTGGCACCCCAGTTCCAGGTGTCACCCCGAGGGGAACCCGTCACACCTCTACTACATGGTCTGCAGACTGACAGGGGTCTGCGGACCACAGGTTGAAAACCACTGCTCTATTACATTGAATAACAAAAATGGAAAAAATCCAAAATGTGATTAAAATATATATATATATAATCAGTTTTCAAAAACCAAAGTGACACCGCTTTTCTGATTAATTTAAAGGATTGAATTTTGTTGTTGTTGAAAACATTTTATGAAAAACTTAATTTTCCATGAAAGCAAGAAAACTTAGTTAAAATTTTTCAGTTTGCTCTAAAAAGACAGCTATTAAGTGGCAAAAAACTTCAGACAGTACTAATTCAGGCTAAGTTAGTAGTGAACCAGAAATCAGAGGTAAAAGGTCATTGCTGCAACCCACCCAGTGATCATATTTTTATTTTTAAATTTTGCTTGCCTCTTAAAATACTTACTTTTCTAATGGACTTTTTCCATCTTACATTTAGCAAACATTTAAACTTTCCCTTTTTCATTTATTGTGCATCACAACCAACCTTCCTTTATCTCATTTATTGCCTTTTTCTGATCAGCATCAGTGATTTCACTTATGTCATCTCATAGCTCTGGGAACTGGGTTTGTTAATGTGTATTTATTTTTTATTGGATTTTGTGGTAGGAAAGGAAATTATAAATGAACTGGCAAAAACAGTGATGGATAAATAGTAACTAAAAATTTGTTGTTTCCTTTACAAAAATAATAGCAATTTATTTCCTCAAAAAGATTTCTGGAATCCAGATGATGTATACTATCAATATATTTTCAACAGTGGGTTAAATTTGGAGCCTATTCTATTTGTCCCTTTAAAATAATTGAAATAAATAATTATAGCTGGCTGAATAAAAAAGAAGCCCACTGCAAACGTGGAGTGTGAAAGATATTCATATCTGCATTAACTCTTAAGATTCCTTCAAAATGTGAAGGGAAGATCAAAAATAAAAATATATTGGGCAAAATATGTTCATATGTTTCTGAAATCATCATCAGTAGGTCACTTAAAAGTCACATAATTTCAAATGTGTCCTTTTACAACAGTTTACTCTTACATACTTAATCAGTAGAAGCTTTGTATTCAGGACTGTGAGAAAGTGTATTGTAATATATTTAAAAATATGTGAAATGAACAGTTCAGAAAGCATCTACTCTATTATATGAAGATGCCAAGTTTTATACCTGCATCATCCTCAGAAACCAAACTCACTGACAACAACCAATTCAAAATTATATGAAAACCTCTTTAAAATTAATCACGTGTGGGTGGTCTATAAAACACACTATATAAAAAGATGAAGTAAAGGTCTTTTCAAGACAACTCTGAGTCTGAGCAAGTTTAAAATTAAGTGCACTGAAACAAATATCTTCTGAGTATCAAAGG